AAAAAGAATGAGGGGCTTTGTAATCGAAACAAATTTTTAGACATAGCACAATGAGAATTTTTTTTTTCGTTATAGTGTCCTTTTAGCAGTCTGTTATGAAAGAGCTTTGCATAACTAAATGTTTCTTCTTTAATTCTAGAAATAACAATTGCCTAACTTTCCAGTTTGTCTTATTCTGTGACCGGCCTCCTATGTATTTCAAGGAAGGAAGGAAGATCTGCTATTATGCAGTTTGCTGCAAAGAGGATATTGCACCTCAAGTGTGGTCAGAGATAACATAAATACTGAAAATATGGCATTTTTAAAAATGGAATACTTCTTCTTTTTTGCCCTGTGCTGTCACCTTTCTTTGACAAACTACAACCATAAAACTGTGAACATTTTTTATGTAAAAAACATTAAATCCTAAGTAGAGGAGACAGGTCATGCAGAAAATGGGATTTTGACCTCTGTGGCACTCATGACACTTAGGAAATACGTTATTTACAAAATGCATCGATTTACCAGAACTCACTATTTAGAAAATGTATCCCTAACATTCTGCCAGAATTTTGTATATGTGCCAAGAATTGAAAGTTTTTGTGCACTTGAGTACAGTTAAGCCATCTGAGGCTCTTCAGCTGTTGGAAATCTATAACTTACATAATTCTTTGTTTGCTTTTCTTCATTAACAGCTGGGGACAACAGAATGTATATCCCTGAACTAATGGCTTTATTTTGTTATATGCAATACATTTTCCACTATAGATGTGTTTCCGTATTGATCTTCAGCAAGGGGTGGCCAAAAGGTAGATCCTCAAATGCTAAAAAAAAAAAAAAAAAAAGCGACACCTCCCATAATATTTTGTCATCCATAAGGCTGGTAAAGTATAATGGAAATTGGGGTTTTGAAATGGCTAAAGATCTACCTTTGACTATACATGCTCTATAGACTGCGACCTATTATGTCTCAAGTTCTACTATGAGTTATTTTGCAACAAAAATGTTGGTTGTTAACTTACTGCAGTTCAATGCATTGCAGTGATTAGTGAATTAACCTTCAAAAATGAATTAAATGCAGCAAATCACCGGTTCCAGTAACAATCCATTGGTTTGTGGGTGCACACTAAAATAACCATGCTGCTTGATGAAAAAAATCACAATATTCTGTTGTCATCAAAGACTGAATCCTTGTCCTTATACACTGATCAGCCACAACTTTAAAACCACTGACAGGTGAAGTGTATAACATTGATTAAATATTGTTACAATGACACCTGTCAAGGGGTGGGATACATTAGGCAGCAAGTGAATAGTCAGTTCTTGAATTTCAAGTGTTGTAAGAAGGAAAAACGGGAAAGCAAAAAGATCCGAGTGACTTTGACAAGGGTCAAATAGTGATAGCTAGATGACTGGGCATGAGCATCTCCAAAACAGCAAGTCCTGTAGGGTGTTCCCGCTATGCGGTGGTTAGTACAAACCAAAAGTGGTGCAAGGAAGGATAACCAGTGAACCGGCATCAGACATGGGTACCCATGGCTTATTGATGCATGTGGGGAGCAAAGGCTTTTCCTTCTGGTACAATCACACAGGAGAGGTACTGTGTGAACATCTTCAGAGATTTTGTGGAATCCATGCCTCTATGCATAAGAGCTGTTTTGTTGCAAGGACACCTGTCAGCGGGTGGGATACACCTGTCAAGGGGTAGGAGCTACATGATATTAGGCAGATGGTTTTAAGTTTTGTCTAGTGTACATGTACTCTAATTCTACACATTGAAACTATGGAGTGATTTTAAAAATACATTTTAAGAAAATGTAATACATTTTGCAACATTGGGAGGTATGGGTTCTGGATGCAGGTGGATGGGCCCTTGGGGGCAGTGGCAGTGATGCAACTTGTAACTTGTACTTGTTGAACAGCAGTTAAATATCTAATTTTCTTGTAAAATCACCTACTCGAAATTCCTCTGAAATTGTGATGGAAACAGGACTTGAAACCACAGGAGCCTCCATAGACTAAATCATGCAATCTGAAAAGTATCCTGAATTCCTGAAAAGTATTCCTACAGCCATCACTAGCAAGGGCTGAAGAAGTGACAAGTTGACAACCCCTTACAATTGAAGCTCCACTTTTCATTACATTTTGTAAATTTTGGGCATTACCATAAAACAAAGTAGTCCCAATGTTTCCCCTAATTTGCCTTAAATATCTTTCAACGAAACTCCAACTCAGTTATTGCGAGAGTTAAATATAGATTCTATGTTTATGGAATATGCAATATTTTGCTTTAATGTGGGAAATATTTAAGTGGGATTGTACTGAAATAAATATCACTATTACATGCAGTTTAGGAAGTGGTATAAATGCATTTACAATATATTTTGGCAGGACTTTTCTTTTATCCTCTTAAGTAAATAGAGAATTTGAAGACAAGATGGACTAGTTGGTAATTACCTGCCATCACAGTCTTTGTTTCTGTACATATAGAAAGCTGTCAGTCAGGACTTTATTTTCACTGACCCATAAATTGCAATGCAAAGCATTGTATGAGCAGTAACTGATTGATTCCAAAGTAATTCTAGAACTATCACATGCTTCCCACACCCACTTGACACCTCCACTGGTCCATATAACGCAAATTAATGAAATTGTCTAGTCATTTATGGAATGTTTGCCTTTATCAAAAAATAATTTAATGGGTTTCTCACGGGAGCTATCCAAAACCTGATATCATTTGGCTAAGAAATTGTTTCATTTTTATTCTAGTATTTATGTTTTATTTCAATATAATGTCAAAGTAATATATATTTTATTGCTGATGGAATATTTATCCTTCTGCCATGAATCAGAGAACAATCTGAATCTCTCCTATTCTCTTGGAAACAGTAAACATGATATTAGGATGGTAATTTCCTGAATCACTAGGATCTATCTTACAGTTGCATTTACTAGAGTAAATCCCTTTTGTTCTCCTCACTTAGTTTTATGTATGTTTCTCACCCCTCCGGATGATATTTTTTTGTGTATTTCTCATTCCTGAGTCTACTACCAGAGGCCTGGGGGTTCGGCGCCATATCTTAGCTGTTCCTAAAACTACTCTCTTCTGGACAAAGAACTCTCACAAGATGGGGGTTACAGCCCCAAGTGCTTCTATCACAGCTGGGACTTTGCCTTCACTTTACACCTTCTCATTTAACTTATTCTTGATGTTATGGTCACTGGATATTGCCACATCCACCAACACTGCTGTCTTCTCTTTGTTGTCCACCACTACAATGTTAGCTGGTAATTGCTTGTCTGTCTGGATCTTGAAGTTAGCCCTGTATTTTCCAACTAGCCTCTATGGTACCTCCTATTTTCTGTGAAGATGTTTCAGTGAACAATCCTCTCAGTGTGTGTAATCACTGCTAACATCTTGCACCTGGTACTATGTGCTGGATTGTCTTAGATGTCTCTTTGCGCAGTCTGGTTACAGTATATGATCATCCATTGTATAAGCCTGCCACAACATCAATGTGCCCCATCTGTGGCAGGTCCTACTCTAACACCATGAGGCCTGCACTTATCAGACTACTAATTGACACAGGAAACTGCACTAGGCGCTCCAGACCTAGGGCTGGCAAACCCCAGTAGAATAGATTTAGAATAAATAAGGTCCATGCACTCATGATCTATCATGAAGCAGCTTTATTTGAACGAGAAATGCAAAGTTTTAGCCTACACAGGGGCCTTAGTCTTAGTCAAGGCCGAAATATTGCACTTCTTGTTCCAGTAAAACGTTTTCATGATAGATTTTAAGTGCCTGAACCTTATTTACTCTGCTCTTATGAGGCTAACCCACTTACTTAGTACATACTTCCTTCTGCAGCTCTCTGCAGGCCAAGGTTTTACAGGAACGTAGAATAAGTCACCTACAATAGGGAGGGATGCAAAACCAAGGGTTTTATACATAAGAAGCAGAAGGGCTACACTCACCTGAACATACAAGCAATACAGGTTATTTGGATTATTTATTGCACATTAAAACGGACTAGAAAAAGCCCACAAATTACACGAATACAAGACAGTTAGCTATGCATATTTGGTCAGATTTGAGTGGAAAATAGGTATTTTCTAATGTATCATGGTCATTAAAATATTTAACACAACAAAAGCAAGAGGCAGATATGCATTGCAAAGAAGGACCACCATAATTACAATATATTCACAATATAAATATTCTGAAGAGCAAAATAAGTATGTAAGCAATAATTAAAACTTAACCTTCATTCACTACTTCTAAATGGCAGCACAAATACTGATTGATAACGATAATAGGACCTTCTACTATTAATTCACACGTGGAAGGGTACATATATGTATAAAATACAAAAAATGATACTGCACTCAAAGACTCAAGATAGAGTTCATTACTAAATTTAATAAATCGTTGAATAAATCATTATCTTAGATGGATATCATTCATTAGTTAATATATGCTCTAAAGTCAGAAAAATTGATAATATATACACACTTAAATCAAACAATATAGTTTAGTAGAAACTGTGCATTATGAGTCTACTAATATAACTCCATGTAGCTAAAAATCCCTGACCACAAATTGAATCATCAAGAAGTATTGTACTATATTGCTGTATCTAATAGTCCAAAAAATACCATCCAAAAAAAGTAGGGTAAACAGGAAAAAAAGGAAGAATCAAAAAAATATAAAAAAATATAAAAATAAAAAAAGTAAAAAACAAAAAAAATAAGGAAAAAATGCAAAAAGGGAAAAATAAGTATATACAGTCCCAGTGTGTACACACTACAATATATGGGTGGATCTCACCGCTTTCTATAGAAGGATAGGTCCTGTTTTCAAGTTATCCGTATTTCTTGATATATAAATCGTGGTGTAATAGTAAATCCCTGTAGTTGTAGTAAATCTTTTTTCTTTCTCCCAGATTGTATGCAAGAGAAGTCCCACACTTGTCATGGAGGTACCGGGCTATATCTTCTTATCTGCTGGTCCAAGTCTAATGGGCGGGCTGCGCGCTCGGGATCTCCACAAATCCCTTCAATGGCCCTGTCCTGAAGGGATTTGTGGAGATCCTGAGCGCGCAGCCCGCCCATTAGCCCGGTACCTCCAGGACAAGTGTGGGACTTCTCTTGCATAGAATCTGGGAGAAAGATTAAGTCAGGCCCTCGGGGGATAGCGCAGCTAAGCGGACAAGGGCACATGTAGGATTGTGGGGATAGATGCGTGAGAGTGTCTTGGGAAGTGTGTGTGTGTGTGTGTGTGGGTGGGGTTAGGGCTATGTGAGCTAGTAGGGGGGAGGTCTTACCTCAGTGCCACTTGGGATTCGGGCCAGCGAACAGCTTCCTGTCCTCCTGCTTCTGTTTGCCTGGGCCTGTAGTCTTCACAGCTTGAGGGATGGGTATTGAGGCGATCCTGGCATCCCTCAGGGCTGCTGCAGCGCTGGATGGTGGCCGGCAGCAATTTGCAAACATTACTGGAGGTATGGCTACTGGTGTGGTCCCCCCCCCCGCGGCCTACCTTCCCCTGGAGCACCCTCCCCCCGCTGCCGCCCATGCGGTCCCTGCCCCTGGGGGCCGCACCAGCACTCGCAGGCGTTCCCGCTTGCCAGGCTGTCTCCTGACAATACTCCTCGGGCCCGGTTGAGGAGCAGGAGTCCAGCCCGAGGCACCGCCGGGACCGCGTGTCGGGGGCTCCAGGCAAGCGGCCTACCACCAGTGGCTGTGATTTGCAGCCTTCTGCCACCTCCATTGCTGCACGGCCTGGTACTCCCACGCCGGGGATGCGGCCTACTACCACCGCGCGTCCTGCTGCTTCCGAGGCCGTGCGGCCTGTTACTGCAAGTCCGGGGATGCGGCCTACTACCCCCGCTCGGCCTCCTAGTGCGGCTGCCGCACGGCCTACCCGTGGATCTCCATTCGCTCCATCCAGTGGATCGAGATCCATGTATTATCCGTATTAACCTCATTCCAAACTGGAATTTTGTGATTACAGCTTGGTAATCAATTAGTGGGTGCTCCTCTATATAACCGAAAAGGGTAACGTTTTCATGTCAAATAAAACAATGTGTTCAAAGGTAAAAAAACACCAGTGTAAAAAGTGCAGAGTGAAAAGTGCAGTACAAAACAGCTACTGTTGTGTCACTCCACACAACAAACAAAGATACATAAAATATAAAAACAGTGTAGGTATCTGTGTGTGCACAGTAAATAGCACAATAATAAAATAAAAATAATACTAGCCACAAAAGGACATACCCTCTAGGACTTTTTAACAAGTTGACTTTTATCACTAACCTCTAATTTACCTTGTTATGCCATATTTGTTTTAAAAAGCTGTAATAAAATTCAAATATTATTTGTGTAAAATTTAATTTGGTGCTAATTGCATGCAAATGAGGTATCACAAGCTGCAGAGGGTTCTGGAAGTACTATAGAGGGGATTTCTGTTCTCTGCCATTAAGTCAGGCCCTGGGGAGATAGCGCAGCTAAGCGGACAAGGGCACATGTAGGATTGTGGGGATAGATGCGTGGGAGTGTTTTGGGAAGTGTGTGTGTGTGTGTGGGGTTAGGGCTATGTGAGCTAGTAGGGGGGAGGTCTTACCTCAGTGCCACTTGGAATTCGGGCCAGCAAACAGCTTCCTGTCCTCCTGCTTCTGTTTGCCTGGGCCTGTAGTCTTCACAGCTTGAAGGATGGATATTGAGGCGATCCTGGCGTACCCCTGGAGCACCCCCCCTGCTGCCTCCCATGCGGTCCCTGCCCCTCGGGGCCGCACCAGCACTGGCAGGCGTTCCCGCTTGCCAGGCTTTCTCCTGACAATACTCCTCGGGCCCGGTTGAGGAGCAGGAGTCCGGGCCCGAGGCACCGCCGGGACCGCGTGTCTGGGGCTCCAGGCACGCGGCCTACCACCAGTGACTGTGATTTGCGGCCTTCTGCCGCCTCCATTGCTGCATGGCCTGGTACTCCCAGGCCGGGGATACGGCCTACTACCACCGCGCGTCCTGCTGCTTCTGAGGCCGTGCGGCCTGTTACTGCAAGGCCGGGGATGTGGCCTACTACCGCCGCGTGGGCTCCTAGTGTGGCTGCCATGTGGCCTACCCGTGGATCTTCATCCACTCCATCCGCCCCGGCCGCCAGCGCTGGATTGCGGGCCAGGGCGGTGGGCAACGGTCCAAGTCCCCCACGGCCGGCGGGGAGGTAGGGCGGTAAGTTGGCCCTCGCGGGCTGCGCAGGGTACCTTGGTACCGCCGTTGAGGGTCTGAGGGTTCCCCTTGCCCGTCGGGAGCCTCCTCTGGTGGTGAGGAAGGCTCCCAGGGCTCTGTCTCCCCTGTCCCCCCTCTTTCCCCTGTCCGTTCTGTTTATTCTTCCAGGGGGCCCAGCTTACCCTTGGCTGGGCCCCCTGGTCCCCCCTCCTCTTGCCCGGTTTCTTCTTCTCCCCTCCCCCCCTCTGATGGGCCTGCCCCCCACTCCCCTCCTTTTTTCCCCCTCCTGTTTTATCTTCCCCCCTTCTGGTCTCTATCCCTCCCTGTCTGCCTCCCCTCTGTTCTCCCCCCGCCTTGCCTGGACCCCCTCCCCCCCTGCAGGTCACTTACCTCAGCCATCTCCTCTGGGGCATGGGCTCTCATCTTCTCTGCTGCTCTCTTCTCAGGACACTGCTGCAGTTCATGAACCCGGCCAGCAGGTGGCGCCTGGAACACAGCTGATGTCTTCTGTGGATGCTGGAACTGCTGTTTCTTTGCCTCAGCTTTCTGGGAGTGCAGTGCTGGGCTTGGATCGCCAGTCTGCGACTGTTGAGTACTTTGTTCCCTCCACTTCTGGCGCTGCGGGTCCCGGGCTGGGAGGGTTTTTTGGATCAGTGGGAGCGGGGGATGGTGGTTAGTGGGGTCAATTCTATTGATGGTCAACTCCGGTCAGCTTGGTCCCCTGCCCTGCTCCCTCCTCATGTTCAGTCATCTCCCCCTCCTGGGATCCCTGACCAGGACAGGTGGCAGTACCCGGGCTCCCCGGCGCCCACGGTGGCCAGTGTTGGTTCCGCCTCAGCCGATGCATGTCTCGAAGGGGGGGTCTCGGACGTAGCGTGGGGTGCTGCTTACACGTGCTGGTCTGGCCCTCTGGACTTGCACTTGAAGCAGGAGACGAAGGAGAAGATTTGGAAGGGGGAATTTGTGGAGATATTTTCTCTCCTACTGCTGGAGGAAGCTCCTCCCGTGGCGGACAAGGACAGTAAGGATTTGGAAAAGGATAGGGAGAAGTACCGTTTTAGCAAAATTCCCAAAACCTTTGGGAACTGGATTCGGGCGTTCTCTATTTTGGCCAGCGTGGTGGGGGAGAAGTATCCCCAGAAGTGCTCCGCACTGTTCTGTTATCAGGACACGATCCGGAACGCTTGTCGCACCTATGGGAGGCTGGGTTGGTGGAGGTACGACGAGCAGTTTCGATAGAGGCTGGCAGTGCGTCCCTCACTGTCGTGGGATCAGATGGCCTCTGGCTTTCCATCATGACTCGTCTAGCCCCTCAACAGGGCACGTTTTCGTCCTTTCTTAGGTGGGCGGTGGGGGCACGTCCTCCTCCTTATCGGCCTCTGGTAAGGAAATTTATCGGCCTCTGTTGGAAATTTAACGACAGTCACTGTAAGTGGGGGTCCCTGTGCCGGTTTAAGCACGAGTGCTCCGGCTGCGGTGGGACCCATCCTGCCTCCCGCTGTTTCAAAGGGGACATGGGGGCTAAGGGCGACGACGCCGGTCCTCATAAACGCGATGCGCCCATGGCTCGACCTTTATAGGAATCGGCCCGCGGCTCGGATCCTGGTAAATGGATTTGAGCAGGGGTTTTGGATCCCTTTCTCTGAGCGCCCTCCGCTGCTCTCCGTACGAAACCTCAAGTCCGTGCAGGGTTTTTCAGGTAGTACGGGAAAAAATGGATAAAGAGGTCTCCTTGGGTCGGATGGCCGGCCCATTCTCCGCCCAACCGATGGTTAATTTGCGGGTTTCTCCTTTGGGTGTGGTGCCTAAGAAGGATCCCGGGAAGTATCGTTTGATTGACCATTTGTCGTACCCTCGAGGGGGTACGTTGAATGATGACATTTCCGCTGAACTTTGCAGGGTTTCCTACAAATCCTTTGATGTGGCGGTTCGCATGGTGAGGGCGGCGGGCCCGGGAGCATTGCTGGCTAAAGCGGATGTGCCCTCCTGCTGCGGGTTCTCGGGGAGGTGTTTTAGCGCTTCGGGGTTCCGTTGGCTCATGACAAGACAGTGGGTCCGGTCACGTGCCTGAGCTTTCTGGGCATCGAAATTGATTCGATGTCAGGGGAATGTCGGCTGCCACAAGATAAGGTCTTGGACCTGCGCCTAGCGGTGTCCCGGGCCCTGGGGCGGCGTAAGATCCAGCTGCGCTGCCTGCAGTCTCTGCTGGGGAAGTTCAATTTTGCCTGTCTGATCTTGCCAATGGGGTGTATCTTTAATAGGCACGTGGCGGCGGCAACGGTGAGGGTCGTTCACCCGCGGCATTTTATCCGGCTTACCCGGCCCTTGCGGGCTGACTTGGCCGTTTGGGATTCCTTTTTGGCCTCCTATAATGGCAGGTCGTACTTGCAGGCCTCAGAGATCTCTAATGCGGACCTCCATTTGTTTACCGATGCGGCGGGTTCGGCCGGCTTTGGGGCCATTATGGTTGCCAAATGGTGCGCTGACTCGTGGCCGGAGGCCTGGCATGCGGCGGGGCTCACTCGGAATTTGGCGTTTCTGGAGCTCTTCCCTATTTTGGTAGCTTTGGCGGTATGGGGTTTCCTGCTTGTAGATAGACGGGTGGTCTTGTGACAACTTGGGAGTAGTGCAGGCTATTAACCAGCTGTCTGCTTCTTCCCTCCCCCTCCCGCCGTGGTTCGCTTGCTGCGGCGCCTAGTTCTGTGCTGTGTGGAGCTGAATGTGTATTGTAGGGCTGTGCACATTCCGGGTGTTCGTAATGTGATGGCCGATGCTCTCTCTCGTTCACAGTGGGACGTGTTTCGGGCAGTGGCTCCGCAGGCCGAACTGGAGGCTGTCCTGTGTCCGACAGAGATGTGGTCCTTGGGTCTGACAGACTAATGGAGTTGGTCCGTGGGTCGG